CGGCGGCACCTTTTTAGACACATTTTTTCTAAAAGTTTACCCCTGACGCTAGATTGTATTTTTAATTTTTTACACACTATACATCTTTTTAATTCTATATAAATCTTTTACCGACATTATTGATTTTTAACTCGCTGTTTTTTTTTTTTTTTTTTACATTTTACTTTAATCTACTTTCATTGCTTTTACCGGTTGTTTGGCGCAGATAGCCTAGCTGCTTTGCGCCATAAAACACCAACCAACCAACCAACCTTACAATAAAATAACTAATTATAATCATGAAAAGTGTGTTTTTTGCCAGTAGTAGCTTTTTGATGAAGGAGGAGAACAACATGACACCAAGACATTAGGTACAGTTTTATAAGTAGACAGAAGAACCAGAAGTGTTATACTGACCTGTACTACTAGGTCATCCATTTTGCTGAATTGTTCAGTATTGGTTATCTGAATACTCAGTAACACATAAAACGTATACTTATAGTAACAATCCTACAGGAGTTATAACACTGTGCACCTATAAACATGAGGTAATACAATGTGTGCATAATGAATTAAAAAAATTACTTACAATGAAAATTAAATTTTATAAAGATCACTCTTTCCCTGTTTTGTATAACTTGCATTAAAAATTGACATGTTTAATAGCTTAGGCAATTTTAACCCTATGCAAACATGTCTTAGTACTTAACACTGCAAAACAAGATTAAAAATAGCTGGCAAACTATTTGCTTTGTGTTGGGTAGTATGAAAGATAAGCGTTTTTAGCAATCACTCTTGTCATATCCCAGAAACTGTCATTTTTATGAAAATAATGAATTATTTATGTGTAGTGGAGGAATACTTCTTTTCTCTCATCTGAAACTTGCATGTTAGTGACTCACAGGAAGAACATCAGTTGAATGATGTAGAACTGCTAGAACAGGAGTGTGTAGATGGAAGTTGGCAACATTCAAATGATGAAACTAGTGGTGATAAGTCGTCTGAAATGGTTGTATTGGATCCTGATCATGTAAGTTTTCTTTGATTTATTATGTGGACAAGTTTACTATGATCTATTATATTTGCTTCTATATAGGTAAATGTGTATGTGACATATTTATCTCTAGTAATCTTTGAAGGATTTTAATGGCCAACTGATGAAGAACTGCTGGCAAGAAGATATTAACTACTAGTTAAAATACTTTAAAGTTTAAAGTTATCATGAAGATTGATTCAATATTATGAACTGTGTGTTTGTACATATGTATATACGGATTGTTCTAAAGGTTTGGTATATAAATTGAGGTTACAGAAAGCTAACTGGAGACAGAATATAGCATGTATTTTACTGTAATGTAATGTTGAAATAAAATTAATATTTTAAAGTTAACATTTATTGAAAGTAATTAATATTTAAAAACAAACATTGAAAAATTTGTTGTTGCATTAAAAATAACAATAACATTGTAAATCTTTTAATGTAATTTGGGCAATATTATGATTCTTTACACCAAGCACTAAACTTGCAAAGGCAAATATTTTTGTTAAAAATTTACAAAAGACTGAATGATGTACAATTATAGATACCAAAAGAAATATTTTGAATTTTATTAAATATTGATGTTTGCAAATGCACCTTATTGACATTAGCACTGATTCCAATATCTCAATTCCTTTTCTAATTAAAAATTAGCTAACTAGTTAATTTCCTGTTTTAACACAAATAAAATGCACCAAAGCATTAGTTTGGTATATCACACAAAACAAAGTAGTGAAGTAACTTCACGATTCTTTTTTCCAATGATAAGTTTCTGTACTTTTTATTCTGTCTTTCAAGAATATCAGGGTATTGTTTATAAAATTCTAATAATATATTTGATGTGGAAGATTAAATAGTTATTTGTGAAAGATGTATAAAAATAGTTTTATTTCATTACTGCTTTAATGGAGAAGTCCTGTATTATCAATTTATAGTGAAATAGAAATTTATTTCTTCATTTGAAAATATTTAAAGGTTAGTATTATGCTTAGCATATACAGTATCATTCCATACAGATCTGGAAGATACCACATTTCTTCTCAGATTTTTATATGTTGCATTGTTTATTTACAATTAACATATACATGTTTTTTTTTTTTTTCACACAGCTAACAGAGTCTGCAGTTAGTATACTGTAAATTATTTGTATTATTATGTTTTGTGATATTAATACATCTCAAAACTTTAATTTTTATGGATTTCAATTTTAAGTATTACATACACTAATGGATCTCTTACCTTTTACGCAATTACTGTAGCCTCTACTGAATCGCTTCCAAAGTGCATTGAAGTCACATCTTCAGAAGAGGTTAGAAAATGTTGTGTTTGAGTTAAATGAAGTGGTAAGTTTATTTTACTGAAATTAAATTTTGAAATTGTCATTTTAATTTTTACCCCATGAGAAATATCACACAGGTAAACAATATATAGGGCCCGGCATGGCCAGGTGGTTAGGGCGCTCGACTCGTAATCTGAGGGTCGCGGGTTCGAATCTCCGTTCCACCAAACATGCCAACCTCCGCCTTTGCCTGGTCCGAAGTCCAGGATGAGAAAGGAGGAGGGTTGGGTGTGGGGCTAGCAACTCCACCCCGTAAAAACCAACCTGCTACAAGTAACTGCAACAACACCTTCCGTTGGTGAGGTGTTGTTGCGGCCCTATGCTCCACTGGGATTTACAGGAATAAAAAAGAAAAAATAATATATGATATTCACATTCAAAAAATAAAAATAAATCTGACATTCCACTTGCAATATGTCATTTTATTCATTTCTATCATTTAACTAACCCATATTGGTAAGAAAGCAAAATTTAATTACACAGATTCAGTATTATTGGAAAATCATAACATGATGTAAATATCTATATAAAATACCCCTTTGTAAAGTTAACAATTAACCAGCTCAAAATATATTTTAAATCATTAAATATCAAGGATTACTTTAGTGGAATTTTTGCAAACACATTGCATTTTGTACACTTAAGTTGCTTCCACGTACCTTCTTTGAATATTAGTGATATGTTATTTATATTGTGGATAGCTAGCACTTATCTTAGCCAGTCACAAAGTTTATATCAAATATTGATATAAAGAATTTGAAAAAGTTGTACCATAATTTAACTTGCATCATTTCCATGCATCAGTAGAGTTGGACATAAATTATGAAGGATGTTTGTTTCCTCAGATGAATCTACTTTCTACATAACTTTAAGATTTTCTTAATAGTCAAAGATAAAACAATGAATATAATATTACATTGTGGTTTGCATCCTATAAAAAATATCTAAATTTACTTAATAGTATGGAATTTATGGAAAACAAAAAAATTGCTCAGATTATAGAAGAAAGAAATGTGGGTTTCAATATAATTTGGTAATTCAAGAACATTTAAACTTAAGAAAAAATGGTAGGTTTGTCAAGATAGCATAAAGATAACAAAACACAGAATTAAACAGACTTGAAAATAAGTCACATGACTACTACAGAAGAAAATAAAAGAAAGAAAAGAAGAATGAGCACTCTAGATTGAGTTTTTGTTATTTTTAATATTAGACAAAAATCAAAGAGGCTGAGGATTCTCTTATATTTTCAACTCGCACCAAAAGCCAGTGTCGCAAAAAAAAACTGTCATTAGCACCTTTTATGCAACCTTTACATTAATGTCATTCACTTTCTCAAGTTTCTAATACATACTTCCCTTAGTTTGGTAACAACTTAGCTACTTTGTCATCTATTCAAACACGTATAACTGCCTTTAAAATTAAAAACAATTAAATCAAATAAAAATTAACAAAGTGTATGTGTTAAATGATATGGAAAACTTAACACTATCAAAACACAAGCCATTACTTTTTACCAGAAAAACTATTACAAAAAACACAAACTTTAGTAAAAGGACCAAATCAAAACTTATTGCAGTATCTTTATAAGTCTTATGTAACTATTAAAGTTCTTGGAATGACTTCAGAAAAAATTATTAATGTAAAGAAAAATCATATAATAGAGTTAATTACTAATAATTTAAACTATGTCTTTCAGTGTGAAACCCATAACATAAATGTATTACAGTTACATTAAGAAATAAGTTTATACTATACTGAATATTTATTATAACTAGCCAGACATAGTATGAATGCTACAAATTACAGAAAAATTACTAAAAAACAAAGAATAAAATGATGGATAAAGCTACAAAGCTTCCACAGTAAAATTGTCATTTGGATTCTACAAAATATTTTTTATTTAACTAACTACAACTGTAAAAATACTGTTTTTTATCGTGTTTTTGTGAAGGAAACTTCTGACCATAGTGATAGTTATGATGTATATATTTCTTTTTAAATAAATTATTTAGTAAATATTCATTGCAAATAATTCATTTCTGTAGTTTTTACTTTAACAAATGGTTCCATAATGAATATGTGTGTTTTAATGAATTGTAATATATTTTTGACTAAATGTATCCTGTGATTTGTAAAACAATGAGCAAAGCCAGTTTACATTTTCTGGCTACTCTTAATGATGAGTAGACAGTCCCTAAAAGAACTACTTTAACTCAGCCACGTAGTTGTTGGTTTCCAGTTCATGAAAATATATTTTAATCAAATTTCATTTCAGACAAAGAATCTGAAATCAAATGAGAGGAAAAGAGAAGATCAGGGAGTTGAGTTATATCATCTTCAACATGAGCTGGCTAGTCAACAGAAAAAACTTGAAGACCTTCATAAAATATATTATGAAAAAACTGTTGAAAGACAAGAACAGGAAGAAGAATTAACATCTGTTAGACATCTGTATAAAAGTTTATGCAATCAGACAAATGAAGAAAGAAAAAAAGGTAATATTGTAGTTTTCAAGTTTTTCTTCATTTTTGTTATTATTAATTATGAAAAATATTGTTAAATAAAAATAAAATTGCACTATGGGTGTAAAAAATATAAATGTACATTATCTACTCACACATTTGATAAAATGTTAAGTGCCTTTAATTATTACTATCAAACAAAGATCAGTACATGTACAAATCTAAGACTTTTCACAGAGAGATGCTTATTCAAAGAAACAGGTCCAAGACTAAAGAAAATATTGCTCATTTGTAACAATACGGGAACTATCTTGAGATGCTCCCTTGCAGGCTCATGTGTTCTTTTGAGGTCATTGACCATTGCATATATGAGAATGGGATGCATTTGAAAGATTTTGAAATTGTTTTAATCACTTCAGAAGACTTCAAAAAGTTTACTATAGAGAATATGTTTTCTTAAGGTATCATGTTCCAAATATATACATTTTGTTGGTTTTATTTCTCTTTTTTCTTTCAAAGCATTTTACTACAAACTATTGCCAAATTATACTGCTCAAAGGATATTTTTATAAACTACTGGAAAAAGAATACACCGAAATGGCTCAAATAAAAGAACTTTCGTCCATCAGGCCATAAGCTAAGAGACAATTGACTTAGATTTACAATGTGAACTAGTTTATAGCCTGTTAAAAATGGTGGGGCAAATACTACCCCCCCCCCAATAGTATACCCTAACCTCACATTTCTTAGCTAACTGAAATAAATATATTTTACAAAATCAAGCTTGACCAACAAAGGGACAGAAAAGTGGCAGTCGAGGCAGTCAAATGTCAGTAATTTCGTTTGTGAGCAAATAAAAGTTAAGGTCATTGACGAAATGAATTCATGGCATATTCATAGAATAGTTATTGGTAAAAATCAGTTAGATTAACAACTTTTAATACATATAAAAGCTAGCGTGTTTTGTAACACTACATTCCAACAATGGCTTTTATGTCATGTTGCTTAGTAACAAAAGTATATCCTAATGTTGTTGTTAGTCTGTGTACTGAACATATAAAATGAATTGTATAGACAACAAAATTGGAAAGATATTTGTTGATTTCTTAACTTAGAGTCTCCATTGATTAAAGAGGTTTGTTTTTTATTTAAAATGTTGGTGATATGACAGAAAATAACTCAATTCAGATACGATTTAAGTTTAAAATTTAATCGATATTTTTACTTTCATGATAAATTTTATGCACTTAGCTCTAGGCTAGGTGATCCCACACTATGTCTTTACATTAGGCTTATTATACCAACACTCACTACACTTATAAGGTATCACGGCATTCAACCCTCATGCATCCCCATCACTAAAATCATAATGGGCAGACATTAATTGAGCTATTCTATCTGGATAAATGCATTTTGGCTTTTATGACTCCTCCTATTTTGAGAAATCAAGCGTGATGTGACACACACTGGCTTTTATATAGGTTAGATGATCTTTTTTAAATCACAAATACATAGTAATTTATCAAGAAGGAAAAATGATGTGTGCATTGTATACTTTTCTTTATACTACCTTTTTATTGATGATGATTACTGTAAAATATGGGTTCTCTCTTTTCCCCTAAAATAACCTCTTTAACTCAGCCATGATATTATATCTTACAGGAAAGATTTCTTGACGTGGTTTTGACAGAATGTCAAAATTATTGTTTTTAGCATTGAAGATTCTGGTATTACTTTGGTTGAGACATGGTGTAAAATCAACCAATCCTCACTGCTTAGAAGAAGATGTAGTCTGATTAATTGACAGAAAATGCCAACACTTTGTTAGAAAGAGAAAAATACAACAATTACTGAGAACTTCATTAGTCACTTAAAACAAACTGTGAATATATATATCAAATCATTATGTTACAAAAATCTGGCTGTAAAAATGTTTTTTTATTGTGCTCATTTTGCAAGAATCTTTTGACCATAGTGATACTAATGAATTTGAAAGAGTGAGAGTAATCATTTTGCTTTTCAAATTTTTATATCTTTAACATTGTAAATGTCTGTATGACAAGTTATACAGTATAATTCTGTTAAAATACTAAAATAAAACGTGATAGTTATGATGTAAATATTGCTTTTTAGATAAATTATTTAGCAAACATTCATTGCAAACTTAATTCATTTTTGTAGTTTTTACTTTAACAAACACTTCATAATGAATATGTGTGTTTCAATGAATTATAATATATTTTTTAACTAAATGTATCCTGTGATTTGTAAAACAATGAGCAAAGCCAGTTTACATTTTCTGGCTATTTTTAATGATGAGTAGACAGTCCCGGAAGTTTTGGACATTTTACTCTATTTTGTTGATTAAGTATTAATTTTTTTATGAATATATGTTTTGAGTAAGTAGATGATGACACCAAAATTTTATCTGTTATTGAGATGTTTATGCAACTAGAAATAACAGGCAATTGGATTAAAAAAAAATGTAAATATATTTGTGTCTCTAAGAAGATAAAGCTATGAATTCTCAAACTTTCTTCTCTATAATGTTTATAACATTTTATTGCAGTTTATTGAATTTAATACATTAAAAACTCAGCTTTAAATAAGGCAACTTCAATTTTTTAAGTAAAAAAACAAGTTAAGATTTTTTAATTGTTTCATATTTTAAAAGAATACTGGCAATTTCATAAGTTATCTTTTGTATGATGAGGAAGAACACCGTTAATATACATATATTTTGATTCACAGAAACAAAACTTAGAGAAAATGTTGAAGCTTCATCTCAACAAGTTGGATATCTTAACCAACTAAAGGAATCTTCGTACTCAGACACTGTCGTTACAAAGAGAGCTGTTAAAAAGTCTGAGACTGAAAAATCACAACTTCAGAAAGATAAACTGAAACAGGTGATGTGTAGAAATTAATAATTCCAGTCAGCATACTATATCTAATGTAGTTTATATTTTTATCACACTATTGTTGTTTTTTAAGGAAAAGAAATAATTATTGAAAAATTAACCACATTTATTAAAATCTTGAACTTTTATACATGCTTGATTAAGCCATGAATATTGAATATTTCTCTAGGATCTGTTGGTTCATAGGCTAATGAAGGATCTCCATACGGTGAAGGACGATATTTTTCTGCTTAATACTCAGTGTGCAGTTCGTAGAGAAGACTCTAATAAGTTACATCAGAGATTAACAGAAGCCAACACTGAAATGGAGGTAACCATTTACAATGTACAACTGTTGCTCAGTGGAACAGTTTACTGTGTTCAAATTCGATGACGAGGAACCCACTTTGAGACTAATAATGGCTGGAGACGGCTTAAATGGGTAATGAAG